TTTGAGAAGCTTCATCAGTTTCTCAGAGATGAAGAAGAAGCTACAATCACTGCACTGAGGGAGGAAGAGGAGCAGAAGAAGCAGATGATGAAGGAGAAGCTGGAGGAGTTCAACAGACACATCTCAGCTCTTTCACAGTCAATCAAAGACATGGAGGAGATGATGAAAGCCAGTGACGTCTGCTTTCTGAAGGTCTGGTTTCAGATCATTGATTGATTGATTGATTGATTGATTGATTGAGTTGTTGATGATAAACTGTGTGTTTGTTCTGCAGGAGTTTCCAGTCTCAATGGAAAGGTGAGTGATCTGCTGCTGTCTCTGCTCTCTCTGCTTCTGATCCAAAGCCACTGCAGTTCTGATCCTGAATGTTCTTCCAGAGTCCAGATCTCATCACAGCCGGATAAACAGACGCCTTCTGGAGCTTTGATTGATGTGCCGCGTTACTTGGGCAACCTGCCCTTCAGAGTCTGGAAGAAGATGCAGGACACCGTCCAGAACAGTGAGTCTGGAGAAGATCTGTCTGTCCAGGACCCATTGAATGATCTCCTTCCCAATGATGAGGAGGAGCACATTCATACAATGAAAGGAAGTATGTGAATGTCACTGTTAAACCCTCAGATGTGAGATGTTGTCAATCCTTTCACACTAACCCTGCCTCTGACCTTTGACCTCTGCAGTGCAGCTCCAAGACAATAGTGCAGCTGGTCAGCAGGGCAACTATGAGATTAGTGCCCGCCGCAGAACCCTTCATAACCTGGTGAAAGAGTACGCAGCTCAGGGCCGGTATGCTGTGGCCGTGCCGCTCTGCAGAAAGGCTCTGGAGGAGCTGGAGAAAGACTATGGACACGACCATCCCAAAGTGGCCACCATGCTCAACATCCTGGCGCTCATGTACAGGTGAGAAAAAGTCCTGTTTCACTGGGTGAGGATGAGGAGCATGTGTTTGTCATGATATGAAGAAATGCAACTTCACATTCTGGATTTACGATGTCTGTTGAATCAGCGGTCTGGAGTTGAAAGTGGCTTTTCCACTCAGAATTAAGAAACAGCAGAATCAATAACATCATGCATCTGAATTATAGGAATAAATATCTCTGTTTGTCTGTTTCAGAGATCAGCAAAAATATAAAGAAGCTCATCGCTTGCTGAATGATGTTCTCTCCATCAGAGAAAAGACACTTGGGAAAGACCATCCTGCTGTAAGTGAAATAAATGTTGATTTGAGCAATTGATGTGAAATTATTTAACATCTTTTATGAGTAGAAAATAGCAACAAAAGAGATGCTAGAAAATATAATTGTAATTAGAAAGACTTTAGCACAGCTCAAAAGTGTTTCATTACAATTATATGCATTTATTAAATCCCAAAGCAAAGGCTGGTGAAAGGATGCAAATTCTTTCAAAAGCATCTCAGATGTCTTAGTGGTTAATGAATTTGGAGCATTAGATGAATGTTAATTATGAATTATTGAGCTCTAAAATACAAACCTCAAATGGTCAGCTGGATTTGCTCATGTATCATAAAGGTGAAATGTCATACTGTATCTCATCAAGATGTTGTGTGTCATTGTGTTTCAGGTGGAAGCTACTCTCAATAATCTGGCTGTGCTGTACGGGAAACGAGGCCAGTATAAGGAGGCTGAGCCATTGTGTAGACGAGCGCTGGAGATCCGAGAGAAGGTCAGTGAAAGTCCTGTTGTCACATCATATGTGAAATTCTGCATGTCAGTTTTACTTTAGTACCATAATTGTTTTTTTGTTATTTGTGACTAAACTCTGTCTGGTTGGGTCAGACAAACCTACACAAACCTTGACATAGAGCAGGACTATTGATTTAAGTGTGAAATATTTTAACATGTCTAATGAAATGTGATGCAAGAAACACAAAAGTAGAAAATTAGCAAACAGTTATACAGTTTAGAGTCATTATACACAGACCACATGAATGAAGGGACATGATTGACCTGTCTGTCTCTCTGTCTGTCTTTCAGGTGTTGGGGAAAGATCATCCGGATATAGCGAAGCAGTTGAATAATCTGGCCCAGGTTTGTCAGGATCAGGGCAAGTATGAGGAGGTGGAATGTTATTACCGCAGAGCTCTGAAGATCTATGAATGCAAACTCGGCCCAGATGACCCCAATGTGGCCGAAACCAAGAACAACCTGGTTAGTCTGTCAAACCGCTTGATCTGCTGGAAAACAATGTGAGATTCTATAGACCACATTAGACTACATTAATCAAAACTGCAGGTGTGTCACTGAGGAAATGAATATATGAATATTTCCACTAAAACTTGTGTTGTTTCTGTGGAGTTGATGTGATGTTCTCTTATCAGCCATTGGTTGTTCTCCACACACTTGGATTCATACCTGTCAAATCCTCAGCCATGCTCACATTCACTCCATTCACTCTCCATTGTATGAAGTGGTGAAATAATCTTTGTCTCTTTGCAGGCATCCTGCACTTTCAAACAAGGCAAATATAAAGAAGCTGAGATTCTTTACAAAGAGATTCTGACCAGTGCTCATGAGAAGGAGTTTGGATTGGTGGACGGTGAGCTGTCAATTTTTTTTTCTTAATTTTTTGATAGAACAGGTAAAGTACAAACAGGGGTGCAGCCCACACAATGTTGAAATGGTGCGTTCAGATAGATCTGAAATGGATGCTGCTGTAGCTTTTATATAAAACAAACATCTTATTTGTTATAAATTCTGTAATAAGACATAAAAATGAAAGTTTTGAAGTTTTTTTTCTTTTTCTTTTAAATTTACTTTACTTTGCACTTACAGTATTAATCAGACTATAGTAGATCAGTGTTAAAGGGTAACAAAGATGGACAGAGGCACACATCCCTTGTGCTCAGGGGCTGAACCTGAAACACATCTAATAAAACAATAAAGCACATTTCTGAGCTTCAGTTTTTCACAAATTTGATTTTTTTCGTTTTTGTTTTTTCTAATTAATAGTTCATGTTTGCAGACATAATGACTGCAAACATTATGAGATGACATATTTGGCTTGTCACATTCCTTTTGAAATCTGGCCCAATCATGAGGCTGTATTAGAGAGCCTACTGTCCCACAGCATGATGAGTAATGATGTTACTTGTGTGTCTGTTTCCAGCTGAAAACAAACCCATCTGGATGCACGCTGAGGAAAGAGAGGAGGTGAGCAAGGTGTGTGTTGTGGATGAAACGAGTGTTTGTGTTTCTGCCCATATGCTGTCACTCAGACTGTCTGTCTGCTGATATTCAGGGGGAACTCAGTGACAACACGCTGTACGAAAAACATGGAGGCGGGTACAAAGCCAGTAAAGTCAACAGGTACCGCAAACACATCACAAAGCTGCAGGAGAGCATTATGTTCTTAAAGCTGCCTGCATTTGATTCTTAGTAAGTTCTTGGTGCCATAAATCAGACAGACACATATATTAATGATCACAAACCACCTGATGGAATATATTCACATAGTCCTCACATCGTCAAACAGCGTTTTTAACCAGACATGGAATACATGAAGAAGATGAATGTGTCGAAATGCCAAAAAAAAAAATCACAAAATCAAAAGAAATAAATCAAGAATTAAGCCTATTAAGTTTTTGTTGCACTCTTGACATTTGTTTGATTTTTATTTTATTTTTTTTTGTTCTCTTGGTTTTGTATCCTTCCTCACTGGATGTGTTGTTTTGTCTGCAGTCCGATCATAAATACGACACTGAAGAATCTAGCCACTCTGTACCACAGACAGGGCAAGATGAAGGCAGCAGACATGCTGGAGGAATGTGCCACAAGGTCCCACAAACGGGTACAGAACAGACCTCACTTGTCATTTGTCTGCCTGTCACGTCTCTCATGTTTTTCCTCCTGCTTATTATTTGAAGAAATTCTTGCACCTCATAAGCCAGACCTCATTCAGTGCACCATTAATAAACCTCAACGTAGGTTTTTTTTAGGGCTGTCAATTGATAAAAAAATTTAATCTAATTAATCACACCCTTTTTCTGTGATTCATTTGCTATATTCAGCAAAGTAAACCAAAAGATTGAAGGGTGATTCTCAAAAATCTGTATTTTCTGCAAGCTTTTTTCAAGATAATTTTAGATGTCTTTCCAAAAAAAGACTCCAAAAGGAGCGCATATAAGCACATATGAAAGAAAAAAAAAAATGCTAAAAAAAAATCAGAATTGTATAGTAGCCTATTTGTACAGTGCAATTGCAAAGAGCTTTTTTACATTTTAGAGAAGCCAAGTTGCGATACCGAACAGGACCACATGGAGATGCCAAAAACCAATAAACTGCATATATCTACTACAGTACACGGATCCATTCAGTATAACTAAACACAGCAACATACACATGACAGATCAAAACATTCTTGTGAATGTGTGTGGAAACAACGTGAATGTACGGAAATGTCTGTGCCTGTGCATAAATACAATGTGCGATCAGTGCATCAAGTGCACTCATACACGCATTATTATAACAGACTCACGGGTGCTTACTGTACGACTCCTATACGCCACCGCAATCGTGTTTACCTTGATTGCAGTCTTCATCCATCAAAACTTTACTAGCGAGACTGGTTATCCAGTCGCGTCTCATCTGGCCATACAGCGGTGGGATGTGTTGACAATCCGTTCAGTCTGTACTTCACACAACGCGACGTGTGAGGGCTCGCGCTCTTCAGAGACAATCACAGAATATGACAGAGCTCGTGTTTTAAAGCGAAACACTGGAATGAATAATTCACTTAAAACGCAACGCAAGTCTCTGTTCTCTCTGCAATCTCTGATGTAATCAGCAGGGTTTCCTTAATATTAGCGCTGTTTTGGACGGATTGTTTGAATGCATTCGCTTACTGGATCATTGGACTGAAAACTTTCCCGGAGTTTAGCGGCTTAAAATGATCTGATCGCAAACAGAGAAGCAAAATTGGGTTAAAGGGTTAGAATAGAAATTGTGCTTCAGTAATTTTGCGTTAATTACGTTAAATTATTTTACTGCGTTAAGGATTGTAAAATTAATCGCATGCGTTAACGCATTAACGTTGACAGCCCTAGTTTTTTTGTTTGTGTTTTGATCATCATTTGTGTTTTCACTTGTCAGAATCTCACAAGAATACGCCAAGATCAGTTTTCATCCCAAAATCAAAAAAAAAAAAAGAAAAAGAAATGAGAAATTAGGCCTATAATTTAAATAAACAAAAAAGGCTAGTTTTACACCTTTTAAAGGGATACTTCACCCAAAAATGAATGTTATCATCATTTACTCACTCAAAAGTTCTCCCAAACCTGTATGAATTTCCTTCTTCTGTTGAGCACAAAAGAAGATATTTTGAAGAATGTTGGTAACCAAACAATTAATGGACACCACCTCCATAGTATAGAAAACGAAAATGCTATGGAAGGCAGTGGGAACCAGAAACTGTTTGGTTGCCGGCATTCTTCAAAACATCGTCTTTTGTGCTCAACAGAAGAAAAAAAATCATACATGTTTGGAACAAAGTAAGAGTAAGTCATTTTTGGGTAAACTTTAATATTTTAGTTTTTCATTATTTCTATTAAATTCTCAAAAAGTATCTTTATTAAAAATCATCACGCATGATGAAAAGCTTTAAAGGTGAGTTACAGAATCTGATGGGTCAAGCAAGCAGCATGAGAGATTTCTGTGCTTGTTTCTGACAGCTGCTTTGTGAGGCTCATGTTTGTCTTTCAGTATCAGAAAAGCTGATCTGTGTTGTATAAAGCAAACACAACATACTGTGAAAATAAGATGAAGGCTTATATAGATTAATTCTAATGCAATACACTCAACCTACTGTTTTGTAAATACAGTGGGCCAAACTAAAGTGTGTTTGATTGTGTCACTTTTTTTAATGTGAGTGTGTGGGATGTGTATTGAGTCTGTGTGTGTTTGTGCAGGATGGCAGCGGAGCACTGAATTACAAAGGCCCATTTGCGCGGCTCAAAGATGAGTTGCTCAAGAGCAGTGAAATGCAGAGGAAGAAACTACAGGACCGCAAACCCCCAGAGACGCACAACACCAAGTACAAGCAAACACAACATACTGTGAGAATAAGATGAAGGCTTATATAGATTAATTCTAATGCAATACACTCAATCTACTGTTTTGTAAATACAGTGGGACAAACTAAAGTGTGTTTGATTGTGTCACTTTTTTTAATGTGAGTGTGTGGGATGTGTATTGAGTCTGTGTGTGTTTGTGCAGGATAGCAGCGGAGCACTGAATTACAAAGGCCAATTTGCGCGGCTCAAAGATGAGTTGCTCAAGAGCAGTGAAATGCAGAGGAAGAAACTACAGGACCGCAAACCCCCAGAGACGCACAACACCAAGTACAAGCACACACAAACACAGTGTGATGCACAGTGTTGAACATTATGGCCAAAACTTTGTAAAATTACCCTATTACAGCAAATCCTGATCTGGTGTAACGGGACAGAATTCCAGTCACAAGCTGGGAGAGGCTACATGATAAAACACCTTAAGCGACTGACAAAATGTAATGTTGCTGCTGGTTAGGACAAACACTCCATGTTAAATAGTTTTTGCTTTCTAATATTTATAATATTATTTATTTTGGGCTGCACTCTTAGTGCACTCATCTCTTAGTGTAATTAGTCAATCTCAGCTTGTGATAATGGCAAATACTTTATGATAATGACCCAATCCCTAAAAGAAAACATTTATTATTTGTAGTAATTAGAAAGATTTTATTATCCATTATTTCTCTGTTTGAGGGTGTCAGTGGAGGGTTTGTAAGTTTTAGTAAATTACTCACACACACGTTAGAGTGTCATGACACACAAATCACCACAGACATACATGAAAACTCAGAATGAAGATTGTCCTTTAGACATTTTTTTTTATCTTTTTTGTTTTAATTTTAGTTGTCATTTTCACTGTATCTTTATTCTCTAGAGAATGAAAGCATGACGCCTCACTAAACAAGACAAGTGACAGGTAACTAATACACAATCTCAGCTTTAATGTAAAAGATGTAAAATTACTGGAAATTATTATAAAATCACTTTAATGCACTGCCTTGTGTGGCTTATTGGTTTTTTCATCAGTAAACAAATCAGTGCTTACAGTTTTAAGTTATTACATTTTAATGAAAAATTATGAAGACAAACATCTATTTCTGTAGAATAACATCATTGATGAATCCATCATACTCAGACTAGCAAGATGAATTAAGACAGTAAATAGATTGTATTTGTATTAATGTTGACTTTAACTCTCTCAAAGATCTGACTGATATATCTTCAGATGATGGTCCGTTGTTTCCTCTCACACTTTCAGCTTACATTCGTTTGTTGTCTTGTGTGTCTCTCTCTTTATGTTTTGTTCTTATATTCAGAGTCTGAGAAGACAGTCGAGATTTGAGCTCCAGCAATGTGGATCTGTACAACAGCAGTTAAAATCTGTCTACACTAAATTGCTCCACCCTTAACAAACTAGAACCTTCATATGAGACTTATAAACTTAAATATGTTTGAATTTTTTTTCAGCACCATGTCAGATTTTACTTTAAGCTTTTAGCCATGCTGGTGTTGCAGTTGCTATGCTGTTTTCAGGGAGTTTTTTTTACATGCATACAGTACATGGCATAGTTAAAATCTACGGTGTCTTCTGTTTTAGCATGCACTCTTTGAGTATTTTTACATTTGCAAAGAAGTCTTACTGTATACAGGCTGATGCTTATTTGTATTAGTTGGTTGAGTAATTATGTAATTAGAAACTGTAAAAGACCCCAACCATCAGACTTCTAATGCCGATCAAACTGCATGCATGATCAAATCAATCAGTTGCTTTAATAACTTTATTAGCATAGTGAATTTGACACTCACCAATAAAGCACAGTAAATAAAACTCTCACAAATAAAGTGTCTTAAGACTTTTTATTATCATTATTTGTGCTTTCTCATTGTCCTTTACTGTCTTATCTGAGGGTTTCTAGCATTATATCTGAGAGAATGTCAATGCAAGTTAATTTTGAATGCACTTTGTTCAAATTTAATCTGAAGAAATAATGCCATCTGACCTGTTTTAATCACACCCAAAGGTGATCAGAAACTCCACCCTCTTACAACACTTACCAGGAAGAAACTATTGACTCTGTTCTCATTTTCTTGGCGAGATCAACAACGAATCAGCGTTCAGCGAAGAATGAAGAAAAGTACTTTCAGGGTGGATTTTTGAGTTTGTTTCTGAACAGACAGCAGATCTTTATGGTTATTCATTTTTTAAACCATTAATCAGAAAGTGAAAGTAAAGTTTAGATCGCTGGAGCTCAAACAGCGAAAATGGATTCACTCTCTGTGGAAGAACTTTCTTGTCTTGTATGCTGTGAAATCTTCAAGGCTCCTGTTCTTTTGTCATGTAGTCACAGTGTCTGTAAAGAGTGTCTTCAACAGTTCTGGAGAACCATAAAAACTCAGGAGTGTCCTGTCTGCAGGAGAAGATCCTCAAGAGATGATCCTCCATGTAATCTTGTGTTAAAAAACTTGTGTGACTCGCTCCTGAAGAAGAGAAAAGAGAAGGGTTCATCAGAGTTTGAGGAGCTCTGCAGTTTACACAGTGAGAAATTCAAAGTCTGGAGGACAAACAGCCGGTGTGTTTAGTGTGCAGAGATTCACAGAAACACATCAATCACACATTCAGACCCATCAGTGAAGTTGTTCCATCATACAAGGTTGGACAGATTTATTTCTGAATAATTTGAGGATTTTGCCATAAAGACATACGTCTGTGATATTTGTCACACAAATATATGATATCACATTCATGAACGTACTACAAAAATCTCTAACGTCTTATAGATTTTCCTTTAAAATTTCAGGAGAATCTCAGTACAGCACTAAAGTCCTTACAAGGCAAAGTTAAAGACAAAACAAATATTATAAGAGAGTTTGAGAAAACAGTTAAACACATTAAGGTGAGGAAACCAAACAACTTCATGATTTGTAAAGACATTCAATTAATATAAATTCGATCTGTCCAGAAAGTTGGCTGTTGCTGTAGATAATGTGATGTGTTTTTCTTCAGACGATTGAAGTGAAAGTGATTTGATTTCAGTCTCAAGCTGATCACACAGAGCGTCAGATTAAACAGCAGTTTGAGAAGCTTCATCAGTTTCTCAGAGATGAAGAAGAAACTACAATCACTGCACTGAGGGAGGAAGAGGACCAGAAGAAGCAGATGATGGAGAAGAAGCTGGAGGAGATCAACAGACACATCTCAGCTCTTTCACAGTCAATCAAAGACACGGAGGAGATGATGAAAGCCAGTGACGTCTGCTTTCTGAAGGTCTGATTTCAGATTGATTGATTGATGATTGATTGAGCTGTTGATGATAAACTGTGTGTTTGTTCTGCAGGAGTTTCCAGTCTAAGGTGATTGGTGAGTGATCTGCTGCTGTCTCTGCTCTCTCTGCTTCTGATCCAAAGCCACTGCAGTTCTGATCCTGAATGTTCTTCCAGAGTCCAGATCTCATCACAGCCGGATCCACAGACGCCTTCTGGAGCTTTGATTCATGTACCGCATTACTTGGGCAACCTGCCGTTCAGAGTCTGGAAGAAGATGCAGGACATCATCCAGAACAGTGAGTCTAGAGAAGATCTGAGCTCTTACACACACACTGGAAATGATGCATGGGGGAACAGTTACATTTTAGCATTATGTATAAATAACCAGTTGAGCTACTGCACCAAAATGAGCTTTAAAAAAGAGAAGGACAACTTGGTCCACAATATGTTTACAGTTACAGTGATACAGCAGATCTCTGCACTGTAAGAAAAAAACTGTAGAAAATATACATATAAATAAGGATAATGTCCTGGCAGAAAATTAACAGTATTTTCTGTTAAGTTTTGTAATGACTTTGATTACTTAATTTTAGGGAATTACTGGCTGCATAGGGGCTCCTCAGTTTGTCTCAATGGAATGTGATTGTTTCATGTGTGACTCAATAGTGTAAGTGGGTCCGTTCGAAGACAGAGATCCTACAGTTTACAGACATTTCCTTCAACCCTAAATCACTACACAATGCAATGCGTAATTCAAAATATGGGTTAAACTCCTGTAAAAAATCAATGTGGAAAATTCCTTTTTATTAACACACTGTTCTTAGAGTATACAGTTCAGTTTGATTGTTTTTGTAAATAGCAGATTTTGTTGACATGAGATGCACATATAATACATATACATGCAGTGCGGGCAACAACGCCTGTTGGATATTACAGACGATTCTAAGGACCACCCACTGGTCCAAAGACCAAATTCAGTGGTGTGGGCAAAAGTATTGTGCATGTATGTTTTTCATCTACTACATCATCTACTTTAATTCTGACTACTATTTAATCTAACTTCAATTTCAAGTAATTATTAGGTTTAAACTGTGTTGATAATTTAAACCTGTATTATAATATTGGTTGCAATATCTTTAATGTAGATATTGATTATTCTGAGTATAAGATATTTTCGATCAATGAAGTTCTAAACGTAGGTTTGGGAGGAGCCTAGTCATTCTGTCCTGTCAATCATCACTACGAACGTAAATAAGCAGCAGTCATTACACCATCCAGCGACAATTCCTCCAGCATTCAGCTCCACCCTATCCTGTTAAACATGTCCCACCCTGATGAACTCCAGCTATTTACCTCCAAGGAATTTTCCTGTTCTGTAGAATCTTCTGTTGTTGAGCGACTCCTGAATCACCCATCTCTGGTTCCCATACCGGTCAAATCAGTGAGGACCAAGGGTTGACCCTCTCGGCCTCCTCCTACAAATTCGCTGAGGCACCACCAATAAAATGTGCTCGTCCCCGCCTTCGGCTAGGTGTCCACGTACCCCATTCATCTTGACTTCACCACACACTCCAGCTCCTCCGATTCCTTTCGGATCATCTCCCACCCCTGATATAAGAGCATGGACAGTTAACAGATTGCAGCATGCACTTGCCACCACAAACATTCATTTTTCTTGAAGACAGACCATCTGTATGGTCTTTACCTCAATTCACAATCTAGTCCAATTCCATCCACTGCTCCTTCCGCTCCCCTTCAAGGGGCCTCCAGTCACCCATCCAAGAGAGCTAGGTGTGCCTCCTTCAGCCAGGAGGCACCGTCAGCCTCGAGCTCTTCCAGCGTCTCCCCTATAGCTGCCATTCCCCCTGCTGCCTGTCTCCGCTGCCATCATCCCTACCCCCCTTACTACTAGTGTAAGTCTTGTGGCTGTAGCCCTAAGCTCTCTGTCTTCACAGTCCAACTCAGCCCAACAAACCCAAGTCTCTCAAGCATCCACTTCTGCCTTTGGACACACTGTTGTTCCACCGTCTAGCCACACCTTCTACCCACTGTGGATTTGCCATATCACACCAGTCTCGGTTTCTTTCCATTTTCTTTCCCCGGAGCCTCCATCCATCTCTAACCCGCTTCACACTCAAATCCTCTCAGGTATGGACGTGGACATGGCTTCTCTTCTATCTCCCATCCCTCAAAAAGACTGCCATTGATCCATGGACTGTGACACAATTTCCCTTACCCTCAAAGATTCAGCGTCTAGCTCCAATCGCATTATTTCCCTTGCAGAATTCGTTTTAGCCTTCGGAAAATATACAGATGTAATCTGTTCAGTCTTCCCAAATAGACGCAAGGAATTGAATGATTACCTATCCATCATCTCACTCTTGCCCACTCATTATCCAAAATTCCCCAAACCCCCAGCCAACCCCTGAAACTGTCAAATCCACCTCATACGTGCCACAGTCTGGGTTCGAATGCTCAATCTCTGTAAATCAAAAGGGATGTTTTTCATCCATTCCAATTTGCCAAGTTTGTAATAATCTCATTGTTTCAGGCAAAGATGTAATTTTTTGCATGTTTGTAATTTTTGTGGCGTTGCTCATGCCCACCCCCTCTGCCCCATGTACAAATCTTCGGCAAAAAAACTAGGGATGCGCCGATCCGATATTCATATCGGGTATCGGCTCCGACAGTGCCATTTTTCTCGGATCGGGTATCGGTCAGAGAGAGCCGATCCAAATCCGAGATGTTTTTTTTTTTTTTCGATTGTGCGGATTATTCTGTGTTACTTCTGAAGCCATGCGATA